AATATAGTACTCAATTCACTGATAGGTTATGGGAAACTGAAACTAAGTGAAACGGCTATAATGAAACCAATTTTACCACAGGCTAATTGATATAAACCAGAATTAAATTTCTTTTCTTTTCTTTTTCTTTGAGATGAAATCTTGCCCTGTTGCCCAGGCTGGAGTGCAGTGGTGCAATCTCTGCTCACTTCTCCACTTCCTGGCTTCAAGTGATTCTCCTGCCTCAGTCTCCCAAGTAGCTAGGACTATAGGCGTACACCACCACACCCAGCTAATTTTTGTATTTTTGGTAGAGACAGCGTTTCACCATGTTGACCAGGCTGGTCTCAAACTCCGGAGCTCAAGTGATCCATCTGCCTTGGCCTCCCAAAATGTTGAGATTACGGGTGTGAGCCACCACACTTTGCCCAAAATTAAGTTTCTATGGCTTGTTTCTGGTTAAAATAAATCACCAAACCTCAAAATAAAGACTAAAATATGTCTAATATTAAACACAGAAATAAATGTAAACTATACAAACATTTTAAAAGATTGATTAAAAAGTAAGATAATTATTTACCCAATTACTTCAGTTCAGAGTCATGGGTGGCTGGATCCCATCCTAGCAGCTCAGGGCACAAGGTGGGAATCTAACCTGGACAGGACACCAACCCATGGCAGGGACACTCACTGCCACAGCCACACTCACTCACGCTGGGACATTTCCCCAATGGGCACATCTTCGGGATGCGGGGGAACAGGAGTACCTGGAGCTAACCTAAGCAGACATGCAGAGGATGTGCAAACCCAGCACTGACAGTGGCCCCGGCCAGGAATCAGCTTTGTTTTCTCTCATCAATATTATAATGAAACAGTGTTCAATGAAACTGGAGGGCCTGTTATAACTAAATTTAACAATGAAGTTGAATAACATTACCTTCCTTAAACATTCAATATTCATTCATTATAATTCTAAGTTTTTTCTTTTTCTTTGGAGTCATTTTTTTCTAAACTTCAAATCTCAAATATTTTTGTAGGCTTCTACGAAGCCTGCAGTCCTTAGCCACTAATCCTGTCACTTTGGGACTAACAGATCAAAATGACCAACCTACCCCATCTTACCCTATTCTCACTTTACCCCTACTGACCAGAGTCAACTCATTTGAAACCACCTCACCTTCTCTAGAAAGCCTTCTTCGCCTATCACCATGCTCTTCCAGCTTTCCTTCCCCATGGGTTAGATGCCCCTCCTAGCTATTCCTGTCATTCTCAGTGCATTTATTTATACTTTTATTTTAGTTTGCTGTTATTTTTTAATGTATCTATCTCTCCACTAGACTGTAAGCTCATTAAGCATAGAAATAGGTTTTGTTTGTCTTTTATCTTCAGGGCATAGTACACAGTAGGTACTCAATAATATGTATTGTGGTAATTAATGAGTAAATAAACTATAAAAGAGTAGGAAAGAGACAGTGTCTATTAAGGTTTTAGTTTCCGTGAGGGATATATTTACCAGGCATCAGGGTGACTTACAGGGAGGAAGTGGATGGGGAAGTGACACTTGAGCTGAGGTTTGTAAAGAGACAAGTTGATGACTGTGAGAGTGATGACTGTATCTCTGAGTAGAAGGGGAGGGCCCAGGAATTCCAGGTGGAGAAAGAAACGTGAGGAGAATCTGCAAGAGGGAGTGACTAGAGAGATAGCCAGACAAGAGCAAGACCAGGAATTTAGGGGAAAGGGAACAGAGAAACAATAGCTTGAGATGCATTTCTGTGTGGTTAATACTTTTTCCGTCTTGTTAACAATTTAGTAATATTCATTCACCAAACAGTTACTAAGCTCCAGCTATGTGCCTGGTGCTACAGCTGCAATTTCCTTCTCAGCTCTTTTTAGTGGGAGTGGCAAATGACGAGGGTCTGGTCCTCACACCTTACATCTCTGAACACTGTCTAATCCCAAGGGAGCCCTCCATATGTGCCTGTTCAAAATTGCCTGACTGAGGATGCCATAAATTATAAATAACTTTCCCAAGGCTCTCCTCTTCTTTTGGTTCCCCCTTCCCCATTATCTATTCAAATTCACATGAATTGTTTCTACCAAGGAACTGGAAGAGTCTGCAAATTTAGTTGTAATGGAACTGTGAAAATATTTCTGGAAAAAAGGTCACATATCAAAATGGCAAACATCATCACGCACACACACACACACACACACACACACACACACACACACACACACACATTCCTATGCCAAACAAGTTCTCTTAATTTCCCAAGTAACACATAACTCTTCCATATCACATACGTCACAACTGACTAAGCGCTGCCAACCCAAGTTCAAGGTCAGACTAGACCTGTTAAGGAAGATTGGATACACAGATAAGGCTGTGAAGGAATCTGTCTCTATTAACTGAGATTGGTCTAAGGGGCCCTTAAGACTTAATCCTGTGCTTAAGAAATTGATACAAGATCCTAGGCAGCAGCCAAGAAGATTCTGGCCCTAAAAGGCCTCTGTTTGGGTTGTCAGGGATCAAAACCATGTCTCTCCTTTGGGACTATGTAATATTTTTTTCTTAAGGTAGAACAGAACATATCTCCTAAAAAGTCTTGTATTTCTGGTGCTTTGGATCAAATGTGTTAATCAAACAGATGTCACTCTACCAGCACATGAAACATCTTAGGTGTTGAATGTTTTATTGTTTTACTTTCCGTGATTCAAAGAAGACCATCAGGAAACAGTATTAATTTCTAAGTTGCAGACATACCTAACACAAGGGTAAATAAGTAGGCTCAGGTTAAACCTGTCTTTGGGGGACAGACATGGCCTCTGGGAGCCATTGAAGGTTCTGAAGGCAGAATGAGCTACTGTCTTGAAGGCACACAGAGCAGAGGTGAAAAGTAGTTGAAGCAGTGGATAGAAGTGTGTGCTGCTGTGTTCAGTCCTGGGCTGAGCTACAGGAAACCCACATTTATCCGGGAGGGAAGTTGTTGCTAGGCAACTGGGAGAATGTGGATTTGAAGCATGTTTCTTGAAACCTGACAGTTGTTAAGCATCAAATGAAAAGGGAGGAAGCCGGCTTCAGTGGTGAGGGGGCAACAAGGAGGGGACACCCTGAGTGCTAGGAAATGCGTCATGAGGGGAGAATTCAGACTCAGTCACTGAGGGGGTGGGGGACTTGCCAAACTGTCTCTACTAGGAGGTCACAGAGACATGCTGTCTCCCAGAACGGGAGGGAACTGAGTGTCTGAACTAGAGGGTGGGCTCTTGGGTATGTGAACAGACAAGTTATGGGACTCTCTTTGGCTCAACAGAAACTAGGTCTTTTTCTGTCCGTCCCAGTATCTGTGGTTAATGAAAGCAAAACTGAGCTTGGAATCTAGGGGCAGCCAAAAGGTCACTCTGTGAGACAGACCTCCTCCTAGTCTGGGGGGTCTGAAGGAGAAATGAGGAGCAAAAGGCCTCTCAAAAGAGGCTGTGTTCTTGCTTTGGTAAGAGCAGAATGCTTTTTGTTCAAAGTGTTTTTCCATCTCTTCTCTAATGTACATTTTACTACTATTCCATGAGATATGTAGAACGAGTCTTATTTTCTCAATTTTACAGATGGGGAGGCTGAGATTTCCTTTCAATGGCAGCAAGTCAGGAGCCAACGCAGAGCTGGGGCCCAGTCTCTTAGCCACTAAGAGATGCCTGTGTGCCCCAGTGACTGCCCAGGCCTATGGTCCTCATGCCGTTGGATCCTGAATCAGGGGCAGGGAGGATGCTGATTACTTCATAAACAGAGTTAAGAAAGAATCTGTGTCTATTAAGACCTCTTAGTAAAGGATGCATATTAGTGGTAGGTAGATAAAAATTTTAATGTGAAGGCTATTAACCTGGGGTCTGGCTTCAGCTGCTCCATGAGTGCCACCCTGTATGTCTGTGTGAATTTAGGCTTCTCTAGGGAATAGGCCTAGAGCTGTAGTCAGATTCTGGAAGGTAATCCTAATTCATAAGAAAGGTTAATAGCTACCATTCTGTAGAAATAAAACATATCAAAAGCCAAAATCCTTCCTAAAACCAACTGACCCTGGAGAGAACCTGACGCCTCACACGTTGGTGCACACATTGTAGGTGTCCAATGCATATTTACTGAACAAAGGCCAGGACCTCAGGACTCATTATCCTAAATGGCAGCCTTCCCAGTGGCCTGCTCTTGTCCTAAGTGACTTCAGTTTTGACCTTTCAGTATTTCTTTCTTTGTAAATCCATAAAAGCAACATCTGATCTGTCATGAAAATAAGCCCTGGCCTACTGCCTGTCTGGAGCTGAAAAGACATCAAGGCAGGCAAGTGACAATTGAGCCAGTAGGCTCAATGTGCCTGAAGGGGCCTCTTTTCTATTTCATTTTTATTTCTTTGTTGAAATCCATTCACCCAGAGGATATTTTGATTGTAATAGGTACATATTTTTGTAGATGCAGGCAGAAAAAAATACTAATGCTGTAAGTCAAATATACTTGCTGTGGCTTGAGTATTTTCATAAACCCCCCAAAAAACAAACCAAAAAAAACCTTTCTGTTTTGTTTCCTCCCAACAGCCCTGCTGTTCCCCGGAATTGGCACTCGGGCATCACTCCTTTTTCTTCTCCCCTCCCATAACCTCCACGGAGAAGTGGGAGAAGTGGGAGAAATCGGGAAGAAAGAGGAAGTCATGAAGTCAAGTCATTAATTAGTGGGACCTCACTGTAAAATCCTATAGATGTGGGGGCTTTCCCAGACACTTGATGCAGCAATATCCATCTGAAAATTGGAATGCATAGTTGAAATTTAACAAACTGCAGCGAATGATCCAGGAGAGCAGGAACTGTGGCGGCTCTCACTGGGTAGGGGGCAGTCCACCCACGCCTCTCCGCAGTGACTCAGGAATTCAGGGAGCAGAGCCAGGAACCAAGCAGGACGTTGATAGGCGCATGTAGTTGGAACCCCAAGTCTGGGCCCTTTTCTCCCTGGAACTCAATGAACTCAATGCCCAGCCACCCCGTAGTCAAAGAAACATGGATAAAATGCAATCAGAAAAGTAAAAATGGCAACAGAGCTGTGGCTGGGGGATAGAAAAGAAAGCTGAATCACGCCACACTGGAAGCATTTTCAAAGGGGAAAACTATGAGCCCAAATGCCGAGGAGGCTGAATTTTCTCTATCAACACGCATTTAGCGGGGGAAGGGAGGGAAACTCAGACTTCCCAGCAGCATGGCAGGTCTTGGCACCCACCTCGGTTCCCCTGCTGAACTTCCACAAATAAACATTCAAAGCAGAAGGGACAGATTTGCTTCTCAGCAAGATTTCAAAGCTATGCGCCAGAGTTGGAGAGAAAACAGGAAGGATGGTAGGGGGAAGAGGGGGAAGAAGGGGAGGAGGGGAAAGAGTGGGAGGAGGAGGAGGAGGGGCATGCATGCCTTGGGTCAAATCAGATAGGAAGCGTCCCAACCTCTCACCCGAAACTGACACACCATTTTTTATGAGGTGCAAAACATTTTAGGTAGTGTTGGCACTAATGATACCTTGAGCCCAGGTCTGAGCTTCTGGGTTTCAAGCCTGGGGCGTTTAAGCCTGTAAAGGCCGCAGATGAAGACAAGCTCCTTCAGGTGAAACCAAGAGAGGCTATTAATAAGTTTCCTTGGAGAAAATCCAGTCACCTGGCTCTTGTTTCTCTCCCAGCCCACCTAGGTCACCAATCTGTGTGTGCGTACTTGCAAGTGAGCATGGCAATAGTGTGCAAATGAGCGTGTCAGTATATTCAGGGATGTGTGGGAGGGATGGAGTAAGGCCATGGGTACTGCCTTTGGATTGTTTGAAGATGACAACACTCACTTCTGATCTCCAAGGAACCGAGAAAAAACACAGCTGGTCTCAGTCGGTGCTAACCCCAGTGCTCCCCCTTCCGATTCTCTGGGCTCCACAGGTTCCCATGTCTCAGAGATTGCACCCACACCCCAGCTCTTTACTCAGAAGGGGCAGGTGCCATCACAGTGGTTTACTGAGATTTTCTCTCTTTTCTTGCTAATGAAAACTCATTTGGCATTTAATAAAACATTATTTATACACTGGCTTACGTGCGTATGAGAAATAGCCCAGAACAGAAGGCCCAGCATTCCCGCACTGCATCTAAGTGTGGCTGCACGCCAACCAGCTGCAATAACAGCCTCGTCCCCATGGAGCCCCTTCCCCCTCCCGGAGCAGTTCCTGCCTGCCTGATGCTCCTCTCAGAGGGTCAGAGGGTCTGCCCTGAGCCTTTCTGGGCTTGCCTCAGGCTTGTTTTTCTAAAAACACAAACAGGATGGGCCCAGGAGCAACAAAGGCAAAGTCCCATTTTAATGGCTGCAATTTCTTTCCGGTTTTTTTTTTTTTTAGTAAATTTTAATTTTTTTAGTGTAATCCATTTGTCAAACGGAAAAGTACATTTTAAAGACACCAGAAGACTAGATGTGTCCTGCTTCGGTTGGGTCTTCCCCCACAGAGACAGAAGCAAGAGTGATGGGAGAGCAGGTAGGGGTGGTGCTCTGAGGCTGAGACGGCTCCCACCAGGGCTTTCTCCTCCTAGCAGTCTCAGGTCCACTGCAGGCTCTGTGGCTTACCAGCTTTGTTAAGAGAACAGGAGAGAGAGCATCTCCACACCACCGTTGTGTCATGGGTAATCAAATGAAAGTTCTTTGGAGCCTCAGAGGCATGTGGGGTACTATTATTATTATGCATGGTCTATAGAAATTGAGGTTGTAAATCAAACTCTTATGTTCTAGGTCAGTGATTCTCAACCTTGGCTGGACATTGGACTTATCTGGGAAGATTTTTAAAACAGTGAATTCAAGGCTGTACCCTAGGCCAGGTGACTCAGAGTCTCTGGGGGAGGGGGCCAGGCATTTGCAGGACACACTGAATCACTGGGGAAGCTTTTAAACACTACTGTTCCAGGGGACAAATGCTGCTGGTGTTGGCCTTTCTAAGTGGCACTGCTGGAAAATGTCCTGTTTGCTTGTCTCTGGTCTGGCTGTGAGTTTGGTGAGGGTGGAAGGTTCACAGCTGGAGCCTTGGCCTCAGCACAATGCTCGGCCCTTCACAGGTGCCCGACACAGGTTTGAGTGCCTCGAGAAAGGAAGCTCCAGAATCCAGCTGAGGTCTGCAAGGGCGATGGTCACGGTAACCCAGGGTTTCTGAATGCTAGCATTTGCCAAGGCAGTGTATGAAGGCATAAGTAAAGACTTTCTGATAAACATTTAGAAGCCAGTGTCCTGAGTTTTGGTCCTAGTCTCTGATGGAAAGTTTTAGCCAGGTGCCCATTTACCCTGCTATCTCTGGGACTGACATCTCAGAATCAATGGTCATGCCCTGGGAGGTAAATTTACCTATACTGCTGGCCAATGTGCTTCAAGAATAGAAGGATGACCCTGCTCCCTTCACAGTGACAAGAGGATGGCACGAACCTGGGCAGCTGGGCCCTGCCTGCAAAGCCCAGGTGCACTTTGTTCCTTCTGCCCATTCTGCAGAGCACGCAGGCCCTGGACACCTGACAGGGAGCCTCTGCAGCTCTGCAAACATGAGCGTTGGACTCCTCGCTGTGCTTGTATTCAGCCGCCTGGAATAAGGGACCTTTGTTATCTCCCTCTTCTGTCTGATTCTGAAAACAAGTCAGGAGTGTGTCTAAAATCAGGTTCTTTTTGAAACTGGATAGAGACACTTGGACTACATGGCTTCTTATTCTTCCTACAGTGTGGGGAGCCAAGAGACCTTTTCGGAGTCCTGGGCTCTCACTGATGGTGGCATCCCTAGGCCCTGACCCTTCATACTCGCTCTGGGGCTCCATCCCGATGAGCTGGGAAAATTGCAGAGTAACTTTTCAAGGAAAGTCACACATTGAAAGGGATTAAGTGTGGACTCTGCCAGAAACTGCAGGGTCTTGTTTTATTTTGCTTCATTTTAAAAAACCTTTGGCTTTCTTTTTAAGACAAGCTGAGGGTGGGTTTGCTGGGACTTGAGAGAGAGCAGTCATAAAACAGACAAAACGTGATTCCTCAGTCAAGTTCTTAGTGATGACATTCCCTACAACACAGTTCTAGAAATTAAAATGTATGCAACAGAAAAAAACCTAATTCCATGCTAGAAATATTATTTATGCCACTTTCTCTGAAGGATTCTAATTTTGAGTGTTTCTGAAAGTATGGCCTACGATGTTCTTTATTAGAATCACCTGATGTAACAGGATAGATTCTGGGCTGACCTGGTTCTTCTGAATCAGAGTGATTGGGAGTGGGGATTTAGAACTTGCATTTTTTACCAACTTATCTAATGGTTTTTATGCACTTTGCATTGTGAGAACCTCTGCTCTACAACTCCTTTATCTAATTCCTTCTCATCTTATCCTTCTGGCAAAAGAGGAGATATTATTAGGTCCCAAGCAGTCTGTCTGGGATGCAGTTCTGGAACAGAGGGTTGAGCTAGATCAGGGCTTTCCAAATTTTGAGACTACTCTGTCATTTTTTCTCTCTAGAAACATCAACCTTTGAGGTTGAGACCAGTTCTAGAGGAAGGAGCATGGGGCCTTCGTTTATGAAAATTTATGAAATGCTTTGCATAAACTTTTTTTGTATCGTTCCTATCACTCTATAAAGTATTATATTTGTTTTATAGATGAGTACTTGGACCAGAAAAGGTTAAATATCTTAGCACAATCACCTGGCTAGGAAATGGCAGGGCAGGGAGTCAAACCAGGCCTCCTTCCTTTGGCACTCTGCTAGAGGAGGTGAAGGGGACTTCCCCACATTTGTAATGGGCACAAACATGCCATAGCCACATACCTAATGGGGAACCTCACAGTGACTTCTGGGCCCCTGGGCCACTGTTTTAGAAGCACTATCAATTGTGATTGAGCCCTGGGAGTCTGGAGCTTCTGCAAGGATTGTCTGGAACACCAGGCTCACGTTCTCCCCAAGGTCAATTTGTGAGGCTCTGCTGCCCCAGGAATCACCTTCCAATGGGCAAGCAGCCAAGCCCCTCCCTTACCACGCGGAAGAGCTTGAAGAAGTCCACATTGGCATATAGCGTGTCTTCTATCCACTGTAGGGTGCCCTGGGAGAGGGAGCACAAGGCATAGCGCACAGTCTGTGCCCCCCGTCGCTGGCTGAAGATGATGAAGTGTTCCAGGAGGGCCTCACTGCAGGCGATGTCCTTCAGCGCCAGGTCCGGGACTCCGTGAGCAAACTGTAGGGAGCAGAGGCAACACTAGAAACTGCCCTGTGGTAGGAAAGACACCATGTCCTAACCCACAGAACCCGGGAATACCTTATGTTACATGGCGACAGGAATTAAGATCGCAGATGGGATTAAAGCCACTATTTAGCTGATTTTAAAATAAGGAGATTATTGTGGCTTTTCTAGGTGGGACCCTGTGTAATCATGAGGGTCCCTTAAATGTGGAAGAGGGAGGCAGAAGAAACAGTCATGTGATTTGAGAATGACTTGATACACCCCTACTGGCCTTGGAGATGGAAGGAGACCACTAGCCAAGGAATGTGGAGTGACTCCAGAGGCTCAAGGAGGCAGGAAAATGGATTTTCCTCTAGAACTCCCCAGTAAAGAATGCAGTCCTGCTGATACCCTAACTTTTAGACTTGTGACCTCCAGAACCATAAGATAATGCATCTTTCTGTGTTGTTCAAAGTCACTAAGTTGTGGTAATTTGTTATAGCAGCAATAGGAAACCAGTAGGATCCCCATGCCTACCTTATCAGCGTGCCATTTACAATTCAAAGGACCCCCTTCTTACAGCATGATGTTACCAGATCACCAAGCTTCCTCTCTGAAGGTGATGGTGAGGAGTAGCTAGAACAAATTTACTCTTGCAAAGAAAAGTACCAGATGCCCAGTTAAATTTGAATTTCAGATAAATGAATTTTTAGTACAAATATGTCCCAAGTAGGGTCCACATAGAACATAATTATTTGAAAAAATTATTTATCTGAAATTCAAATTTATTTAGACACCCTGCATCTATTTTATCTGGAGACCCTAAGCCCTGCATAGCATACATTCTGCAGCTCCTAGGGAACTCAAGGATAGTGGTTCTTGAAGCATAATCCTCATAATGGCCTCTTGAGGATAAGGTGGCAAGGGAGAGGCCTGCACGTTGACCAGGAACCCTTGGCCACCCAGCACCTTAACTGGCTTCTGGAGTCCTGGACTCCCATAGCATGGACAGACCCTGAGTACCATAGGAAAACTCATGAGATTTCCGAGGCACCACAGTCTCCTATGACTTCTAATGACACGGCTTTCTGGGGCAGGGCAGAACAGGCCTGAGCTCTGCCACTTTCTGCATGGAAACTGCTCAGACTACACATGACAACCTGGTTCCCACATGAGGCACAGGTCACAGCTGACCATGAGTCGCTGAGGACACTTTCAATCTTAGGGGCCCATAACTGGTGTGCATTCCAACAGAGCCTTCCCATTTTACCCACATCTCACATCTTTTCTCCAGGGAAAAGCTTCACCCTCACCTCTAACCCCAGAGTCTAAGACATTTTGGGTTGGAAGGAATCAACAAGCTCATTTTGTCCAAGCCCCGCGTGATCCAGAGGAGAAATTGATGGAGGAGGGGTGAGGTGACTTGGAAAGCTACGAAGCAGTTCAGGGAAGGCTGGGACACCATGGAGGTCCCTGGGTCCTTCCCTCCCTCATTTATTCAATGCCCATCACCGACTTCCCATTCTGCAGGGAATAGGATAGTGACTGGGGACACAGAGAAGAGTAAGGCCAATTTCCTGCCCCCCAAGGGCTCACTAGCTAGCTGGAAATACAGGCATTTAAATAGCAGTAGGTGCGAGATTAGACATAGTGAAACCAGAGCATAGAAGAGAGCGTGTTAAGAATAGCTACTAAAAGCAGCTAATATTTACTGAGTGTTTACTATGTGTGAGGCACCGTTCCAAGAGTTCACATATATTATTTTTTTAACTTCCACACTGCTACGGGTGTTAGGCACTTTTACTATTTCCATTTTACAAATGAGGAAACGAGAGGCACAGTGGTTAATTAACTTGTCTGAGTCACACAGCTAAGTGTGTAGTCTTGTGAGATTTGAACCCAGAGCTTAACCATCACTTGTTAGCTCTTCAGTGAGTAGGAAAGAGGGAAAAAGTGGGACAAAGAAGGGTAGGTTTATAAATAATTTCACTGAGGAGGCAACATCTGAGCTGGGCCTTGAAGCATGTCCAGCAGTTCACTGGGCTGGGGGTGGGGGTGGGGTAAGGGGTGAGCCAGAGATCTGTGCCCCTGTCATCTCATAATAATTCCCTAGAGAGAGGGGATGATGAGGTCCCTTCTGAACTGTGCTCAGACCCCAGGCAGGAAGGACCAGGAGGGGTATCCAGTCCTGATGTTCAACGACCATGAGCAACGACAAAGAGGCGAGCTCCCATGTTGGACAGTGCCCAGAAAGAATGTTGCCATCATGATGGACAATTCTGGCGACAGTGTTCATAAGAAGCCCCAGAGTGGGGTGGAGGTGGGCATACCTCCAGGAGCTAGAAGACAGGTGAGCCCACGAAGCAAAGCATCCCGGGAAGTGGGCAGGGAGGGCTGGGTCATCTGGAACATGCATCTGCGAAATGCAGATGGCTCAGAGTTTGCTAATCAGGGGAGTATTCAGCTCATTGGAGCCAGCAGCATGAAATAAAGGCACAATCTAGTGACCCCGGCCTGCATCCTCCAACATGAAAGGCCTCAGCCCTGATGCCAGAAGCACAGTGCTAGAGATCCAAATGTCACGTTTGTAAGGAACTGGAAAGAAATTTCCCCAAAATTCCTGCCCTTATCACCATCCCTTTTATTACTAACTGGAAGTCATCACAGGCATTGTCAGGACTTGAGTATTATGAGCTGAAGAGAAAGCAAAGGGGAAAATGATCCGTCAGTGCCGATAGCACCCCCACAGTGGGTGTGGGAGGGGAAGCTAAACAGGGCCTGGCCGGAACTGCACAGCCCCGGGGCCTGGGCACTGCAGGTGCCAAGCTCACACTGCTTCTAGGCTGACCCTCGGTTCCCCTTGTCTAGTTTCGGTGAAAACCTCAGGGTCTGAGAAGCCAGAAAAGCAGGTATGGGCTCCTTTGCTGTGCAGGGAACCAGTGTGAGAACCTGATTCCAGGAGCCAGTGCTGACCAGGTGGGGTGGAGTCCCTCACTCCTCTGGACTCAGACAGCACCCTGTGCAGACCTTGATCTCAGGGTTGAAACAGGCTCTGAAGTTCTGTTTATGTCTCGTTCTCTCAGAGTCTGGAGGAGGAGCAGACCCAGCCAGGAGGGAGTCGGGAGGGTGTCTGGGATATCAGCTGCTACACATCTTGCATTCTCGCTGTGTTTATCACACTAAAGAAGCTGGGCGGGAAGCCCAGAAGGCCCAGAGGACAGCTGCAGCTCTCATACCTGAACCTGCAGAATCACCTGGAGGGCTTGTTAAGCACAGATTGCTGGGCCTTACCCCAAGACTTTGGACTCAGTTCACCTGGAGTGGGCCCTAAGGATTTGCATTCCTAACCAGTCCCCAGGTGTTGCTGACACTGCTGGTCCCTGGGCTTTGAAAGCCACTGGCCTGGAGTAAGAAACGCTGGATTAGGATTGAGAGTATCTGGATTCTATCTGGCTCTGATAATTTCTAGCCCTGTAACTGCGCACAAATCACCCCATTACCAGATGCCGAAGTCTCCTTCTCTGTTGGACCCATCTCAGGATCGTTGTGAGGAATAAGGGAGCTAAGGGATGTTCAAGTCATGAGTTAGTGGTAAGAATGCTCTGCATAAATACAGGCGATTTTAACTAAAAAGACGTGAGATAAATTGGAGGCATATACACAGATCAGAAATGTGCCAAGGGATAGAAGAAGGAGTTTGCCTGGTGCTGAGAAGGAAGCGGTCAAGGAAAGCAAAGGTGGGCTCTTCTGCAGGGTCTCAGGTTCTGTAGCCTCGAGATGCCACCGAAGCGCCTGCCACCTTCTGTTGTTGATGGTGCACTGATGGCTTCGCAGCCTGGAACTCCTCTCAGTTATTGTGTGGCTGACAGACAACTCTGCTCAAATACTGAGCATCCCCCTTAAACCGGCCCCTCCGTCCCTCTCTAACCCCCGACCCTGCCGGATTGTCCTTGCAGCACCAATCACAGCCAGGAGACACACTGTGGAGCCTCTGTTTACATGAGCATCGCCTATGGCCCCAATGGAATGGAAACTTCCTGGCCTGGGGTTTTGCCTGTCTGGTTCACACTGTACTCTAGTACCTACAACTGTCCCTAAATATTTGATTAATAAATGAAAAGACTTCTGTTTCTTCATCTGTAAAGAGGAGGTTGCGCCCCATGATCTCTAAGATTCCTTCCAGGTATAAAAACCTGAGATGTTTTAAGGTTGCCAGGATGTGTGCAGCCTTGAGTCCTGTGATGAAAATGATCATGATCTCAAGTGACCCTCCCCCGCGCCTGGTATTTTTCTAAATACAGGGCATTAAGTGATGGATTCTGAATGTGAACACAAGGAATAAAAAGAAAAAAGCCAACATCTTTTTTGCCTTTCTCAGGCTGGGTGCTTCCCCCTCCCCTCCAGGGACCACCGGCCAGTGACATCCACCTACCTGCTCCGGACGGACTTGAGAGTTGATCAGAAGGTAGACAACTGAATCAGAGAGGCCAATGTTTTTAATGAGAAATAGTGACAGTGTTTCTTCATCTTTCAGGATATCCCTTATCCGTATTCCTCTTCCTACATATGAATAAGAGAAAGAACAGGGTGTTGAAGGGGGAATGGGTCACAAACAGGAAAACAGCTAGAGTCGATTGGAAACACTTCTAACTTGACTCTCAGAGGAAGGCTCTGTTCTTGGGGTCTCTGGGAGCCCCTAGAGGTGAGGCTCTTGCCAGTGGGCTGTCCCCAACACAGTCACAACATTGACTGCTGAAGCAGCTGGGCCCAATTTAGTAAGAAGGTGGAAAAAGTTAGCCAGGGCTAGGTGTGGGTGTCAGATGATTTGTGGGGTTGGTCTAGGACAGTGCTTCTGATTAAGGTGGGGCTGGGGAGCTGCAGGGCAATCTCATCCTCCTGGAAAGATCTGGCAAGATCGAAAGACATTTCTGGGTGTCACAACTGGGGAGGTGCTGGTGGGTAGAGGCCAAGGATGCTGCTAAACATCCTGCAAGGCCAGGACACTCCGACACTCCTCCTTCCCCCACACAAAGAGTTATCTGGCCCCAAGTCAGCAGTGCTGAGGTTGAAAAACCCCGGTCTAGAATTGGAGGAGACACATGTTTTTCCCACAATGCAGTTGTCACGGGGAGAGGACCCTTCTGGGTGTTTCTGTCATCTCAGCTTGGGCTGAGATGTTCAAGACACTGACGTGGACTAGAAGAAATGAGATGGGGCCATTCAGGGCAAGAAAAGCTCCATGTAGAAAGAAGAGAGCCAGGCACACTGCCTGGGCTTGCCTGATGAGCCCCAGTCATCTTCCCTCCAGCTCCTCTCAACACCTGTGGGAGGCAGCCTTTCTTTATAAGGAGGCATAAAGAACACCTAACAGTTAAGGTGACCTTGGGGCAAGTGATTGAACCTCTCCCTGTGTCTGTACTTTTCCACATCTACCTCAGGACTGTTGACGTGAAGTGAGGAATGTGAAGTGCTTAGCTCCCAGGCCTGAAAACAGCACTCAATAAATGCTCATTATGATCAATTTAGTATTATCCTTACCCCTCTTGGGAGATTCACACAAGCACCCTCCTCCTCTGCCATCTTCCAGGGCCAATGCTCAGCCTCAACCCTGCTGCTGCCATAGTTCATGAGGCTGTGGCCAGAGAAGAGTCTTATGGGCCTGATCTCTATGAAGGGACTTAATTCAACATGAAGGGAAAGCACTGGGGTGCATGAAAATGCCAATCTCTTCACCCTCAGTTCTTCAGAGGCCTGGGTGACTGTTTCTCTCCCAGTTCTTCTCTAACTAACTTTAACCATCTTATGTCCCCATTCTTTCTGGTCCCGATTCCACAGCATCCCATCTTCTCCCTCTCCAAATTCTCCCTTCCCCAAATGGCCAAGAGGCCTGCCCCTAAGTGCTGGACAGCCATCCTGCTCATCTCCAGGTTGTGCCTTTCCCTCAACAGGGTCTTGTCAGGATTCATGTTGCGGCTAGTTTCCCCTGGAAGGATCTTGGGTCAGCCCCACAGGCCTGTCCATGCAGCTAGGGCAGGGGAAGCTGGTTCTGAAGTTCAACCACACAGTGGCACAGTGGCCTCTCTCACAGTAATGAGTGCCTTGAGAGTTTGGCCCACTGTCATTCCCCTTTGCATAGAAAAAATCCAAGGAATTTGGGGAAAGCTGGACACAGGCCCCCAAGGGAGGAGGAGGGCTCTGAGAGGGAGGTCTCTTGAGAGTTGGGGGCTGTGGCTCCTGCTTTTATTATACTTTTTATTGAACCTAGCAATGCTGGGTGCACAGATGGAAGCCCTTGTAGTCACCTCTCTCAGACACCCAGCATGAAAGACTGACGTCCAATCAGAGTCTCAATAAATGTCTGTTGAATGACAAGAGGCATTCAGTAAATAACTGTTGTCTTGACCTGAGAGTCAGGACCCCATTTGAAAGTTTATCTCTGTTATTCTTTAACTCACCTGACCTTACATACAAATATCTCGGTGAGGAGAAGGGGCAAAACAAGAAAAGCTGGGAGCGATGTTGCCCAGGCCTGGCACACCAGACCTCCCAGGTGACAGGGCTGCCCTTGCCCTGGGGGCAAGGGGGAGCGCACTGGCTCCTGGTACACCTGAGAGGGCGGGGACCCAGGCGAACAGGAGGCCGATACCAGACAGAAGCTTCCCTAGACTCCTGAGGGAGAAATGTGAACTGGGAGTCTGAGGAAAGAAAAACACATTTTGTTTAAAATGTGGTTCTTCTTGTTCCCTTCTCTGGGAAGATTAGAGGAGGGCGGGTGGGGGCTGCTGAGGCCCGGGAGCTGAGAGTCGGGGTGAGAGAGGAGCCAGGAGAGTGCAGGAGGCTCCCAGGAAGAAGGCGTTTTAAAGATGATTGAGAGACCACAGAGCTTGCTTGGGGGAGAGGGACCGGGGCTCCAAGCCTAGTCTTTTACCATTAATCCTCCCCTGCTGAGAATGCAGTACTACAGGTTTGCCATGAAAGCAAAACGCTGCCTGGGTCAACCAGCGGTACACCTTCCCAGGTGGCTGTGCCGAAGCACGCGCCCCACCAGTCCCCGTCCCCCCCCCGCTCGCTTTCAAAGGTGGGCTCTTCCGCAGCGCGCGCCTGAGGGGTCCGTGCTCGCGGCGAGCTGCGCCCCCTGACTCTCCACAGAGTAGAACAGTCTGTGTTCCCGGCAGTACCCTTCAGGCCCTGGCCTGGGGTTTCTTCAGAGACCGTGTCCCTGACTTGCGGACGGACCCCAGTGCCCTCAGCCTCTAAGGTCAGGGATCTGGCTTCCGTTCCCAGGGCCGTGGCCGGCCTTTCCTGAGCCCTTGTTTCCAGATTTGCCCTGGTAGGGACGTCTCCCCGCAGGCTGAGCCTGCAGAGGGAACCGCCTGCGTGCCGCTTCAAAATCAGTCCTGCTCTGGGGTTAAGAAGTAGTGATTTTGGTTCTCATATACACGTTGTAAAACCACAGAGAAATTGTGGTTTGAAATTACTTCCTTCATACTTCCTCCTAGCAGGACTCAACCTGATGATCAGACACTTAAGTGAAATGTCTGCCTCATCATGGAACCCACTGGAAGCATGAGGTATGTCGCCCCGCAGGAGCCGGCCAGCCCACATCTGCATCTGCTTGTTTAAACTAGGAAAAACAGCACTTTCTGGTTGGTGCATAAGGGAAGGGCGGTTTCTTACTATTAAAATGGTAATTGTACTCATGCCATATAAGGTTCTTCAAACTTGAGCTCACTAATTTTCTGTCCAGAGCAGCAAAGAATGCAGTGTTCGTAGTGCGGTTTGTAGCAGTGACTACATAAAGTCTATGCTTTACTCGTTTCAAAACAATGAGAACGTGCTTGAGCATCTTGACGCACCAATCTAGTCATAGGCCTGTCCTTGCTTAGATGGGAAGAGAAGGCTTCAGAAGGTGGCTGGGTGGAGGAGGATCAGATTCTCCTCAGAGAAGTTTCCCCTGTTGACTCCCTTGTGCTCCTGAATCCCCTACTTCCCTCCGCCCGGCCCGCGCTGTGGTCGTTTTCTGCTCACTCATCTCTCAACGTCTGCCCCGTGAGTCCTCCGAGGGCTGGCATTCTCCTGAGTCATCTCTCCACCCCCAGAGACTAGCCCAGTGCCTGGCTCACAAGAGGCACTGAAAATCAGCTGAATGTTGAAGGAGCTGCCCAAACGCACAGGGAGGAGCCTCCAGGTCTGATTTCAACCATTCTCCCAGATTTCTTGTTTGAAACCTGCAGCAGAAGCTGTTCTATAGATACAGCCTCTCTCATTCCCCTGATAGACCCTTAGTGACCCCTTCCTCATTCCTGTCAACCTCTAAAGTCATTCTTAAAGTCAACCCCCTAATCCTAGGAGCATACATCTCCCAGAAGCCCCATACGACCGCTGTGGCAGCCTCTGAGCCCTGTTCCTGAGCAATCTCCCCGCGACTAGCAGCCTTTTTTCAGAAGGCGCACTCCACCCACAACCCCTGGATTTCTGGGGGGGGCTTTACTTCCTCACGAGCACTCATTTCCTCTGCTCTCCTGAGTGGGCTCCAGCTGCCATATCCAGTCCCTCTAGCCATTGCAGAGGCACCTACTACACATGCAATAGCACACAACACCCACTCACACTCATTATTCTTGGGTTGTTTCTTGTTCTTCCCCTGGAAGGGAAGACACAGTAGAGGGAGCGCCTCCATCCTTCCTCTTCACTGTTACTGACTCCACGTGGCTCTCCCACTCTGGTGCCTGGCTCCAGCCATCTTCCTGCACAACCATGGTGTCCACACGGGGCCAACATCCTTGCCTCCCATTTCCTCCTTCCCCTCACCATGCACCTGCACCTCCACTCAACTTCACCATGACCACATGTGGGGCCAGCCATCATCCACCATCTTGGAAATACTGAATTCACATATTTCACTTTCTGTCCACAGCCATCAATCCTTTCATCTTGTTCATTTTCTCAGTCATCTTAACAGGCTCATGGCACCCACTGAGACTTTTATTCCCATGCCTCTCCATTTCCACCCCCAAGACCTGATGCACGTAGCCCAGTCCCTGCCTGGTGACCTTCTGTGGTGCCTCCCTGTACACCCTCAGCCCTGCATCACCCACTCTCCACTTGCTCTGCCTCAGGGCCTGGATGCTGAATATTACTGGGAGAAATAGTGCAATTATGCATATTTATGTCATGATAACACGTGGTCTGTGACCTCCCTGGCTCCTTAATGATAGCTGGCCATGCTTCTTCATGTTACTGGTTAGCTCCCCCTCCAGAACTCTGTGAGGGTTGCTCCATACCTTTACCAAACTCTGCAAACCCCTCTCCACCTGCTTCTAGCCCTTGACCTAGCCTCATACTTCCCATAGCGCCATCTCTCTTAGCATTCTTTCTGTCTCTAGACTTACCTGGATGAGACCTTTCCTGCCTTCCTTCCCAACTTTCTACCTTCCAGGCTTCTGTGGAGGAAGAAGCATCTCCACCAAGGTGATGCTCAAGCGGCCTCCAGAGCCCATCCCTTCCTGCCTCTGCTAGTATCTTTTTCACCACAACTCCCTGCTCTTTCCTATATCTTCAGTCTCTCCATGGGTGAGGCAAGTGATGCTTGAGAGCTCTGGAGTCCCGCTTACCTGCAATTCTCTCCGGGTGAGTCCGGAGGGTGTCCATGAATTGGGACAAGATGCGGAGCTCTGTCCAAATACGGCCAAGGTGCTGGCTCTCTGGTGCATTCATGAGGAGTTCTTGAAAATCTCGATATACCCTTGCCAAGCTGTAAGGACAAAGCCTCATTAATGAGGAAATGGCTATTTTTATAATAGTAATATCTCATGCTATTTTTAAAGATACTATGTGCCTGACCTAGCTACTACATTGAGTATCCTTACAGTACTGCCAAGGCAGGAGAAAGAGACCATTTTACTTCCTTGCACATAGAGGCTAATAGATAGGGATGGTGGGTGATCTGTTCAGTCTCTCAGTTTTGGCAGTGCCTGGTCGCCTCTCAATCCCATGCTCTGTGTGTCTCCTGCCCAAAGAAGCCTTAAACAGGATGGCATTGGTAGATATTACTGGAGGTTTTTTTCCAGTTTTCACCCAATTCTCTGAAACCTGTCCTTCTGCGCATTCACACAGGTAGGCTCTGACCGCCATGCTTCATCCATAAGGACCTCCCTGCACACACACATGCCCACATGCACATGTACACCTCTGCCAAGGCTGATGGGACAGGGGAATAAAGCTGGGCCAACCTGATTTGTTCCCAGGAATTTGGATGGTGTTCAGAGATGGGCTTCTGATTGCCCAGGCTGTGGTACTGTGAATTGCATGAGCAGTGGCAGCCCAGGCGTTGAGGAGCAGGGGAGACTGGTCCATGGAGAGAGGTGAATGGAGTGGATACAGAGGCCAGGCCTTGCAGGCCCAGATGGAAGAGAGTTGAGGAAGCAGCTCCTGACAGCGCTCCAGGTCTTAGCCTGCCCTTCCTGAGCCCTGCCTTGCTGTCCTTGGCTCTGTGAGAAGGTCTAGTATCTAATTCATACATTTTCTTCTGGGGTTTAAGATTGCTTGAGTGGGTTTCTCTGCCTTGCAAGCAAAAGAACCTTTAATAAGCCAATATTTCATGCATAATGTGTGTGCAAAACATGAAACCTAACTTTCCGCGTTCGAATGCCAAGTACAGCTAGAGTCTGGAGCCCCCTTCTCCAACTCCCACCCCTCAGTTTTCTCCAATAACATCTACAGACACTGCCAGGGCCATTCCCACCAAAGCCCCATGCAGCCTGCACTGAGCTGTCTCCAGGCCTCCCTGATCCCACCATGTGACCCCACAGGATCTCTCTGGATGGGCAGGTGTTTTTAAGCTGAAAGTGCAGTTGTAAACTAAAACTGCAAGGCAGTGCTTGCAGCAATATGAGCAGTGCTAAATGCTACTTCCTTGACTTTGCTAGGAAGACAGATGTTTCCTCTTCTATCATCCTGTAATCCAGGGGTCAACAAACACATAAAAGTTACAGGCTTACAGATCATACAGTCTCTGTCACAACTACTCAACTCTGCCATTGTACGGCACAAGCAGCCATAATTTGTTCACAGTGGGGAAGGCCACCTCCACTCATTAGGTTGATCTATCAGACTTTTTTTTCTTTTTAGTCTAAAAGCAGGCTTCTCCTAGAGGAATTATACTGAGCTCCTCCAAGGAAAAACTAAAGTAATCAGATATCTGTTTTCACCTGGCCTAGTGTTTATACAGGTAGGGGAAAGCCTGCTCACCAACAGGCCCTTGCATGTGGCCTTCAGGTATGGGCTGCACAAGGTGGTGCTTAAGGTCAGCACAGTGGGTAAGGGATGGCCCTGTCCACACGCCAGGCCTCTGTCTCTAGGATATGTCCACATCATGTTCTCCCAACGCTCTGAAAGGGAATTCCAAAGGTAAACCCTCTTCCTGTGGGAGTGGACTTGAATTTTGACCCTAGACCAGAGGCTATTAACCTGGCATCCACAATTCCCTGAAATCAGATGTACAGTGTAATGTTTGGTGTGTGGCCGTTTTTCTTGGGAGAAGGGTCATTGGTTTTCATCAGCTTTCCAGATTGGCCTTCAGGCCCACAGTAAAGGGCCACTGTGCTTAAGCCATATTCTAAGATCTCACCACTCCAGGGGGCAGATGGCAATTACAACATAGGATTTGGAAATTGTCTTTTTCTCCCAAGAAGTAAACTTCACTTTGTAAACCTGACTTCATTTGCCTTCTCAATGCTCCCTGACATTTTTCCTAGCCCTTAGATGTCCAAGAAAGCTTTTAAAGGAACAGAGATCTGTCCAGGTTGATCAGGGTGAAGGGAACTGAGTTTTTCGCCCACAGTGACTCACTCTACCCAAGCAGGTCAATGACCAGAAGGCAGTGGACACATTTCAGAAGCAGGCTGCCATTGGACTCCAGTTCACATCCTGGCGATATAAGGACCAAGAAATTGTGTGCACATGGCCTTAGCTTGGAGATTTCTCCCAAAGTGCCCTGACAGTTAACAGAATGTTCCAGAGAGGAAACCTGCTCTGCTCCTAAGAGATTAGGGGCTCAGCAAGCCACAAGAACACTCTTTCAGTGCTACATGCTCAGTGCACGCACATGTGCACTCCAGCACATGAAGGGGTGTGTAACTTCCTCCCCCTCATGGCAGGGATCTCAACACTTACATGGAGTTGTTATAGTTTGACACAATTCCAGGAGATTCTCCTGGGGTGGGGCTTTGAAAACAAGGATTATTCACATTGCAGAAGATCCCCTGGAGCCATGGCAGCATTCCTGCTGAGGGCATCGCCTTGTTGGGAAAATGGCCTTTAAAACAGAAAATGATGACAAGACAGGGTTAGTCATGGAGACCAAGCAGGATCAGACCTAGGAGCTGGGGCCTTTTTGGGAAGGGGCCTGGGCCCCTCTGGTGCCCTTCTTCATTCTCAGCATTTAAGAAGCAGGAGCATAACATTTAATGTGTGCCAGGCCCTTGCTGGGTGCTAGAGACATGGCTTCTTCTCTCAAACTCCTGGTGTAGTGGGGAGACAGACAGATGCTGTAATAGGTATGGATGGAAATGTGAAGGAGACACCGGGGGGACACATCATTTTGTGCTGAGAGGGACTTAGGAGTGTTAGTTCAAGAAGCTTCCACGCAGCAGCTGCTGCTGCTTGAGCAGAGGTTCATCTATTCCTTCAGTCACAGTCTGAGCACCTACCCCCAAGCATGCAGTTGGCTGCAGGTGATGGGCTCCTGGGGGAGAGATAAAGAAGGAAGAGGCTGATAAATAGGAGGCTGATTCAGAACTGAGGTCTGAAACTCATGAACCAGAGGGTGAAGAGAACTCATCTACAAATCTGTTCTCTTTAAAACAAGTGAGAGTTTAGGTATTAAAAAAATAAAACTAGCAAAAACAAAACAAACAAAAATAAGTGCACCCTCCCTCAGTAACTACATACAAGTATCTGCTTAGAATGTGTAAGGTTAAAACATGAAAATTGGGGTTGGACAAGGTGGCTCATGCCTGTAATCCCAGCGCTTTAGGAGGCTAAAGTGGGAGGATCATTTGAGGCCAGGAATTCAAGACCAGCCCAGGCAATGTAGCAATTCTGTCTCTACAAAAAAACAAAAAAATTAGCTGGGAGCAATGGCTCATGCCTATAATCCCAGTACTTTGGAAGCTGAGGCAGGAGGATGACTTGAGCCCAAGAGATAGAGGCTGCAGTGGGCTATTGTCCCAACACTGTTCTCCAGCCTGGGCAACAGAATGAGACCCTGTCTCTCAAAATTTTTTTTAAATCATAATTTGTGTAACACTGATAAATCTGTTTTATGCATCATAGACATGAAATGATAATAAGCAGGTCTGATCCCCACACCCCCACCCCAAGACCATTCTAGACAAAAGGCCCAGTCCATTGTCTCTTCAAGGCTTGCCCAAGCTACCCTGCTATGCTTACATTCGTGTTGGCTGTACAGCGGGTTGGCATTCCTTAACCAGATCAAGATCAGAAATAAAGATAAAGGCCACACAAGTTCCACTGCAAAGCGAATCTGGAAAAACAAAACAAAAAGAGAGAAAGTCCGGTGGTACTAAGAGATTACAGAAAACATAACCAAAGCAGACACTCTCCTCCTAAGAGCCTATGTGTGCAGTAGGACTTTGGTTGTGGCATATTTACCTAAACAGTTTCCTTATTTTACCCTCTCCCTCACATACTACCTCTACCTTGTTTTATTGTATCATCCAGATTTTGTGTACATCTGGGTTCTACCCTACCTCTGTTTTAGAAAACTGCATTAGCATGAGACGTTTATAAAGGCTCATCAAGATCCTCTGCTTCAGTGCATTTTAGCTGTCACTACGCACATGAATGCAGATTTTGATTCAGTACAATCTCACCAGAACATGTATTTTTTTTTTTAAGACAGAGTATGCTCTGTCACCAGGCTGGAGGACAGTGACGCGATCTTGGCTCACTGCAACCTCTGCCTCCCAGGTTCAAGCGATTCTCCTGCCTCAGCCTCCTGAGGAGCTGGGGCTACAGGCATGTGCCACCACACCTGGCTAATTTTTGTATTTTTAGTAGAGACAGGGTTTCACCATGTTGGCCAGCCTGGTCTCAATTTCCTTACCTCTTGATCCACCCACCTCGGCCTCCCAAAGTGCTGGGATTACAGGAATGAGTCACTGCGCCCAGCCTCAGAGCTTGCATTTCTAACAAGGTCCCAGGTAATGCTGATATAACAGGTAGTAAAGATTTTTCTATAATACTCTATCTGCAGATAAGGAAAGAGGAACAGAGAAGGCAGGTGACTGTGCAGTGTCACATCAGCAGTGACAGCATCAGAACCCAAATCTAGCCTCCTGTTTCTAGGGCCAATGTTCTTTCCGCCCCTTCCCATTACCTTGCCTTCTCCTATCACGTAACAGACATTGCAAATGTGGTCACTGAATGAATGAATGAATGAATGAGCAAATAAATGACTGTGATCTATAGCAAAGCCAACAAAAATCTGGTCTACCAACATGTTTCCTTCAACAGTTTCTGTTGCTTAAAGAAACAAAGCAGGGCACACTGCCATGGGTTTTTATACTGGAAGAGGCTGCTGATGTCAACATATGGTTGAAAGTTGGTATTTAAATTTCAGTTCCATTTAGAGCTTAAGGACTCTTGATTCCAAAAGCAGATCCAGTGGCTGTGGCAGTCCACACCCTGTGGCATTGCACATAGGTGTGGGGTTGGAGATGTGGAATTATGGAGGGGAAGAGGGAGAGGGACATGTGAATTGAACAGGAGAACTATGCAATCCTTACTCTAGAGACCTTAAGAAGGAAACGCATAAGATCTGAAGGAGATCTTAAGCAGCTGGCTGGGGAATAGCAAGTTTAATAGATCAGCTAGGGGCTATTCACATGATCTTTCATGTAACCCTTTGCTGTTTTCCTCTAAAAGAAATGTAAATAGGCTCTCAGCAAAATAAGAGTCACCACAGCAGGGGCTCAATAAATGCTCCTTTCCTGCTAATAAGGACAAGCCATGTTCTGCTTTTTAATAAACAGCCTGCTGGTGACCAGATTTAAGAAACTAGAAAATAAATTGATGGGGGAATATTATCATCCATTGAAGAAAGAAAAAAGCAAAACTGTTTAGGGGCAGGTGGTGATTATGTAGTTGTAACTTTTTACAAGATGTTTTACCCAAAATACGTATAGGGAGGATGTGTTGGAGGAAGCATGCACACACATGCACACAATATGGGAAGAAAAGAATAGATTCTCTACGAGACACTGATTTTTTTTTTTTTTTTTGAGATGGAGTCTCGCTCTGTTGCCAAGGTTGGAGTACAATGGCACAATATTGGCTCACTGCAACCTCTGCCTCCTGGGTTCGAGTGATTCTTCTGCCTCAGCCTCCAGAGTAGCTGGCATTACAGGTGTGCACCACCATGCCCAGCTAATTTTTGTATTTTTAGTAGAGATGGGGTTTCACCATATTGGCCAGGCTGATCTCGAACTCCTGACCTCAGATGATCTACCTGCCTCAGCCTCCCAAAGTGCTGGGATTACAGGTGTGAGCTGCCACACCCAGCCCGAGCAATCATTTTTAAGAGGACCTTCTACACCTTCCCCCACAAGATGGCAAAATACCAATATTGGGCAATTCCTACCCAGCCTTAAGGGGACTGACTGTACGCATACTTGCCAGCCACTGGAACGTTGCAGTCCCCCCAGTGCAGGCAGATCGAGGTTAGCCAGGCTGGGCCTCTTCCCTAGCCAGCCCCGTCTCATTGTTAACATCCTGGTCCCTGACCACACGCAACTGTCCCCCAGCTGCCTGGACTACCCCTTCTTAACACTCATTTCGCTTCAGGGTCGTTACTCCTCCAAGTAAGTGCAGCCCTCAAGGGCAGTGAGCTTCCTGAGGGCAGGAACCTCATCTGTCATTGTCACTACTATGATTCCAGCACCCCACATGGGGCAGGACTCATAATAGGTATCAATAAATATCCATGGAATGAGTGAGCCTTTGTCAAGACTGGTCTAGGAGGCTTCTCCAGGAAAGTCTTTGGTGACATGGGGTTCAGGTCACCAACAGTCTGTAGATTTAAGAAATAGCCTCCCCCACTGGCATGTACATTGGAGTCTTGTCTTCCATTCTGGATCATTCCATCGGTGGGTAAGGCCAGGGAACAGGTTTGGCAAGATAGCAACGTTGAGTGATAGGAGCAAATGATGAAACAAAGAAGTTGTTCCTAGTGTCTTCATCAAAGAAATGAGACATCCAGTTCAAATCAACACATTTGACTCCTTTAAACAACTGCTTGCCATGTTGGCCTTCTACCAAGTATATCGGCTGTCTTCCACACAGCAACATCTGTCTGGGAGTGGTGTGGCATGTTAAACTCTGATGCTGATTTGGGAGTTAGTGGGAAGATCTGGGTTAACAACCACTCGGGGGCTTGCTTAACCTCTGAGTCCCAGTTTTCTTGTCTCTGAAATGGACTGCTCTTTTTCCTACAGTGTACACTCAGGATTAAGAGCAGATTACTCTGAGGCCAAGTACTGAGGTTCCTATCCAGTCTGTTCCATCTTAGCTATGTGACCTTGGTCAACCCGCTCAGCCCCTCTGTGGCACCCAGTCTCATCTGTGAAATGGATGTATTACTAGGACCTACTTGCCAGAGCAGTCTTGAGCATAAAATAAGACAACTGTGTTAAACACGAAACCACAACATGGCATGAGGTAACACCCAATAAACGAGCCATTTGTTATTGCCTCACAGGGTTGTCACAGGTCACAGGGATGATGCAAAGGCAGATGAGTAAGGAGGTATAATTAAGATTACCTGCAACCCTGTAGGCCTGTCCTCTACTTACGTTCATCTCCCCGCCTTTCTGGATTCAGAACTGCCCAGTTGCTGGTTTGGAACCATGGGGCTTCCTGAGAAACCAGCCACACACTGTCCACTGCTCATACATGAAGAGGGAGGGGTGTGCACTAGGGAGGGGACCAGCCAGCTTGGCCTGCCTGTCCCATGGGTAAAATTTATAAACCAAGCTAGTGCATTGTCATCCTCCCTTGCAAGGCTTGTCACGCACTCTTGCATCCACCCAGTCCCTCACTCACTCATTCTTGTGTTTTTGAAAAATCTGGTCTTCACAAGGCACTGTGAGTTAGAGGTCTCCTCTCAGGAGTAGGGGTAGGATCAGCACCTCTTTTCTTCCTTCCTTCTTTGTCTGGCCCTAGGACTAATCCTACCTCACCTGTGCCCTCTTCCCATCCTTGAATTAGGCTGTTGTTTTCTGCCTATGGTCCCCGCCACTCAAATCATCACCCCTGTTGACCTGGGTCAGCACTTCTTATGTGGCTTCTCGCTGAAAACATGCCGGGGGTCTCAGGCCATGCCCCAGATCAACTACATCAGAACCTTGGGGCATGAGACATTAGGGTTCCTCTTTTCAGTACTTCTTAAGTAATTCCAATGTGCATCCAAGGCTGAGAACCTCTAGTCTAGGTAATGGTTGGTTGGTAATCTTTGAAACATATTTGTTGAGAGGTCACTGTTGTTCTAACTCTGTGAGAGTGTGTTGTTTTTTTAGGGGGGTGGGCAGGTGCTGCATGTCACATGTTACTCCCTGCACAAAGACCACAAGCCATTCTTTTCCTAGCCTGACAGGTCTGGTCTTCACAACAGCCTCTTCTCCTACCCGCTTCCAAAGTCATGCTCAGCACCCCCACCCCAGAGCAGCATCCTTGTCCTTGACGCTCAACTGCACACAGGCATACCCCAGGGAGAAATTCCACAGTATAATTAAAAACATGTTTTCTCAGCAGCTCGGACTCCCCCACCCTGCCCTTTACACATGTCTGTAACTTTAAGCCCAGCCGAGGCTCAGAAGGGCTGGTGGAAAATTCTTTTTTCCCAAACTGATTTTTCCTTCTTTCTCTCTTTTCTTTTCTCTTCTCTTCTTTCTTTCTCTCTTTCTTTCTGTCTCTTTCTTTCTTTCTCTTCCTTCCTTTCTTTTTTTCTCTTGCTCTTTCTTTTTCTTTCCTTTCTTCCCTTTCTCTCTCTCTCTCTTCCTCTCTCTCTTTCTCTCTCCTTTCACCTCCACTCCTTTCTTTACCATTCAATTGACATGAAGAGGAGGGGTTTCTGGCAAGGGCACAGTTGTGCTTGTTTTAAAACTGAGCCTGTTAAATTTTCTTCCTTCCTGCTCTGTTTTCAATTTAACAGAAGGCAGCCAAGGCCTAAAATTAGCCCTATGATTCTCCCTTCTGCACCAAGAACCAGGACAGGATTCTTAGTCTGGACCAACATGACCCAGAGCCTGGGTACACTGGAGTAGGTGCCCAGCTTCTCTGTACCTGCCATATTCTCAGCCTGATGCTGGGCCCAGGACAAAGGCCACAGCTGTCCCAGGTGCTTGGGGGTGTGGGGTCCAAAAAATGATTAGTGCCCCACTTTCATGAGTCCTCAGGCCTCCCCCAGATATCCATCCTAACCCAGAAGCTGGGATGAGGGAATGATACCAAGAGAACTGCCTAGTGACCTTCATAAGCCCTCCCTGACGCAGTGCCTGGTCCGCAGCCAACACGGGCAGATGTGTATTTGTCATGTGCAGTGGAGAGAGCTCTCATCATTGGGAATGCTTGTCACCAGGATGAACTCCTTAGGAAGGCTTCTCCCACCCTCTTCAACCCTGGTGCCCCCTCCGAGCTCCCAGACCTCCTCCTCACCTCTCACCTGTGCTTCCTTCTACTCCGCGGCCCCCACATTGTGCTGCGCAGTAATTATACGTGGGAGCCGCTCCTATCTGCTCTAAACTCTATGAAGGCGGTGGCTGTGTCTAGCTCACTTTGGTATAGGGCAAACATACATCCCAATATGCCAGGGCCAGTGGTAGTTTACATTTATTGCCCCAGTGCAGTTATTAATAGTGCTCCCTTTTACTTTCAAAACTGCCCAGATTGGATGAGAAATTATTTGACGACTCTATCTTAGTGATATCAGTGACCAGACTATTGGATAGATCTTGATCCATGGAAGCAGTGTGGTGTCACGGCCATGCCCGCCTATCCTGGGTCACACAGCATGGGTGCGAATCCCAGGCCCAACCCCACCAGTTACTAATCCTTCTCTGGAGCCTCAGTGACCTCATCAGTACCGTGGGGATCATTGAGAGGCCTCTCTTGTGGAATTGCTGGGAGGGTTCAGGGAGGTGATGCACGTAGTACAGTGCCAGACACTTAGTAACACTTGACAAATGTTAACAGAGGAATGAGAAAGAAGAGGGAGGAAAGCAGAAGCTGAAGATTTTCATCTTATGCCCTTAGGGATTGGGAGCTGAGGAATGAGGAAATTTGGTATCTGTTTTTACTCTTGCTCTGCCTGCAGGAGTAAACATCTAAAAGCATGGAGGTTTGAGGAAAAACCTGGGATCTGAATTATGGGCTGGGTGGTCATACTTTTCTTAGAGAGACCATCTTCTAGAGGTAGAAATTTCCAGAAAAACCAAAAGCTTAAGAAGGAGCCACAGATACCTCAGAGCTAGAGAGTCTGCAGGGGGTGCCTCCATTTAACTCAGACATCCTGGAAGCTCCTGGAATGCGGTCGCAGGTGGGGCGCCATCGGGAGGCATGCCAGACGGAAATCTGAATTTCCAGGCCGTCAGGACAGCATCCAGCAAACACCAGCCCAGCCCAGGCCCAGCCCTGGGAGGTGCCCCAGCCGAGGCCTTCAGCCTGAGTGGCTGCATCTCCCTGGGAACACACTGTGGCAAAGGCAGAATCCCTGAGCAGGACTCACCAAGGCACGCCAGGGAAAGGCCAGATTGAGAGGGAGGGCACCAGAGCATTCTGAAAACAGTTATTCTCTGTCACAGCGACATGAGCACCACAGGAATGGAATCATTTTAAGCCAGCAGCTACGGTCCTCAGTTATCATGCAACCCCCTTTGAAGGTCACCAAGAGCACAGTGAGAATAAAACGAACTAAGAATTGTCATTTCTTATGGGAAAGAGAGAACAATAAAATATTGGATTTTCCTCCACAATCTATAGACTCCAAGCCTCCTGTAGGCAGGGGCTGGGAGGCCTTGTTGCTACTGTACACCCATGAACCTAGCACAGTGCCTGGAGATTGTTATTTGTTGATAGAAGGAAGGAATGAATACATGAATAAATTTAATCATGAGTCTTTTTCAAGTTTTGTCAGGATTTTCAAGAAGGGAAGCTCCTAGAAAAAAGGACAGAGTTTCTGACTCCTCTTAATACTTGGCCCCTGGGGACAACAGATAACTTCAGCACCAGCGCTGACAGAGGAAAGCGGCCTGAGGACAGTGGTGCTCCCTGGACATGCCAGGTCTAACCTCCCCTGCAGCCTCCCTGTGTCCTGGGCCAACCACACACAAGCTTTGAAGCCACCCATGAGCGTGGTTGAAGCATATCCTGTGCTCTCCCTTTTATGCTGGTAATTAAGCTGTTATCCCTCAGCTCCACATGCACCAGCCTGCCAGGGCTTTCTCCCCAGGGGTCTGGGCCTGAGGTCAGGCTCAGAGACCCAGCAGCAGCCTTGATGCACCCCTTCCTTCCAAGTCCTAATGTCAGCTCCACAGGCCTCTCATCTATGTTTCCAAGTCTTGATCATACCTCTCTCTTCCTTTGGTTCTCTTAGCCCTAGGGATGGGAGCTGTGTCCTGCAATTGCTACCTCCGTGATACCTTACCATTTTCTTTTACCCTCTAAGCTACGAGCTCTATACTTAGCTAACACCTTTTCAAACTAAACTCTAAGGAGATCCTCACTGAGACACTTATTCATAGGCCTTCACCGGTTCCACCAGTTGGCACCATCATCTACATAAACTTATTCTGAACTGAGCTTTGGAGCAAATACTGTTCTCTTCTCCCCTCCCTTTCCTCCAGAGCTCTCTAGTGGCTTGCAGCTCCCATCATCCTAATCTCAGCCTTACTCAGCCCCTACCCTTTATCCCCTCCTTCCTCTTTCAGCTCCTTTAGTCATTGGCATTTGCATGACTCTGCAAGGCTGTAGCAAAGTGCATTCTTTCTTTACAGTTCTATGGTAACTCCTTGTCCCTTCATGGAAAAAATGAACAAGGCCAGTTGGCATTTACATGTACAGCCTTGGTGTTCTCTGATCTCCAGCACCTCTTGCCTTCACTTCTCATGGAATATTCCATCTATGCTACTTCATTTTGCTTTTGGTCTCAAAACATACTTTGGGTTTTCCCAGCCAGCACAGAAGCCTGTCCAGGGTGGAATGTGTGTCGTACTTTTAGGTCTCCAGTCTAACCCAGCCTGGTGTCTGCTCATTGAAAGAGTTCAGGAAATGTGCGTGATGGTTAATAATGTACAGCATCTCACAGAATCTGGGACACGGTCAATAGTAAGACGCACTGTTATTTTTCTGCACCACTAAGAAAGAAAAAAAAATGTGTCCAGTTAAACTGTGACTTGATCGTGAGCTGCATTCCAACTTCAGAAATGTTAACGTGAAAAAACAATGTGCCTCAGAGAATCAGTGAAATAAAGCCTCACTAAGCTAGGAAGCTATTTGAGGGGGTTCTTGTTTGCCTTTGGCCTGCTCTTCAGGACATAAGGTTCTTCCCACTGCCCAGTGTGGACACCCTAAAGCAAGGTAGACTAGACTGGCAGGTGTAAAATGGGATGGGGGAGGGGCGGGCAGGCAATAAATTGACAGACAGGATGGGCAAAAGATTTTCATGTGGCTGAGAACAGAGAAGCACATCTTCCTGCAAAGAGCATTTTCAGAGGTGCCCACAGAGCGGCTAAACCACAACAAACCCACTGACTGCTCACAACCCCCCCACCTTGCCCCACCAGCCAACCCCACACTTTCAACCTGTTTATTTGCTCCACACCTCATTTTTAAATGACAGACAGTAACTGTTACCTTTTGCCTTTTCCTCAGGGTCCAGTTCTTCCAGAGCAAAAGCTGTATCTGTCTCACGAAGCCCATGCTAATGACCACACGAAGGCCAGACTGGTCAGAGCTGAGGGCCCCCAGACAGTAAAGGACGTAAATGCCGCTAAGAGTGCCTCCAGCTCCGGTCGCTGTGTCCTTCTCCTGGTGATTAAAGGCTACTTTTCCCCTTCAAAGCATAATCCCTTCTAATTACACATAAGCCCTTTGTTGGGGAGAGGAGGCCAACACTGTGTTGGTTCCTTTTTAGGGAGAGAAAGAGAACCATAAAGACACAGGTGGCTGGGCACCAGGGAAATTGAGGTAGGGGATACAATGGGAAGCCAAGACCCTCAGGTGTGAGAGGAGTTCCTGGGGTTGCTCAGGGGAATGTCTTTGGATATCTCCTTAAGTTTGGAACAAAATCTCTTTGCATAAATAATAGACTGGGCATTTGTGAGCCTGCCATGAGCCAGTAGCCAGGGTTTGACTGCCCCTTTAAGTCAAATCAACTCACTTGGCAGATCTGAAGTGATCCCTCCTTCTTTTAGCCTTTATCTTGCTTTGTAGTGACTTCAGGCCAGATATTTGGGTTGTCTCTGAGCTTTGTGGAAGGTGATGATGTTTATCTCCTGTGCTAAATTTGATCGACTAGTAGTGGCTGCCTGGGGCTGTAATGGAAAAGGCAGTGGAACACTCCAGGCTCAGCAGGATGGAACCGTGATTGACTTGCAATGTATGACAGGGTGTGGGCATGAGGAGAGGCAGCAAATGGGCCAGTGACTGTCATTCCAGCCCTGCAGTGTGGGGTGGTGCTAGATTGACTCATCACCAGGTAAGGGATCTGTGATCCCAAGGAACACCCCAAACAGAAGCCTCCCTGGTACCGCGCCATGGAACTTTTTGTCTCTGCCTCCTCAAATCTCAGAACTTTGTTCTCTTTGAAAGACTCTAGACCCCTGAGACCTCGATAGTGATGGAGGGAGAACCACAGAGAGGAATGGATGCTGACTTCATGGAGTTTGTGGTCTGGTTGTAAACATGGGACTTGAACTCGAATAACTCAAGGAATATGATGAGGGCCCACAGGCTATGCATAGCGGGGCTTCCAAGAAGAGAGAGATGGTTTCTGCTTACGATGGCAAAAAGACTCCTTGGAGGTGATGGCATTTAAGACAAGCTTGCAGAATTACAAAATAACATTTTATAGTAAGTTTATGATTTCTAAACTGCTTTTGCATGTTAATTCATTTTAGCCTCACTACAATTTTGTGAGATCCACATTTGCTCAGTTTTATAGATGAGGAACATGAAGCCTAGTGAGATTAAGTACTTTGCTCAGGGTCCCACGTGACAATGGTGGGTTCTTGAACAAGTGAGTCATTTAAACTCTGCAAAGACAGGGAGGAATAGCTTATCTTTCCCAGGAAAACCACAAGTGAAGCATGGCTGGAGTGAAGGCTAGGAATAGAGGATGCTGGAAAAGGAGACAGGGACCAGACTGAGAAATTGATGATGACGATGATGACTGAATCAACTAAGATTTACTGAGCCCCTGCAAAGTGACTGGAATGACCCACAAGTGCAGGCCAACCCCAAGCAAGCTCTGGCAGAATCATTAAGACCTTGTTGCATGTTAAAGAGTATGGGTTTTATCATGTAGAAGGTGATGAAAGATTTTAATCCAGGACTGCCAAGAGTAGTCAGCTGGCAGCAATGTGGGGGTGGTTTAGGGGGAGGCAGAGAGCCTGAGCAATGCAGTGACAGCCTTGTTGGAGAGAAAGGAGGGACTGGAGAGATAGGAAGGAAGGAGACAGCAGTGCTAGGTGACTTACTGGGAGAGAGTGGTCAGGAAGAGGGAGAAGTCAGCTAGATGGAATTTAGCTTGGCTGGCTGGCTAGTGAGATGGTAGTGCTCATAACTGAGAAGGGAATGCCAGAGGAAGGCCAGTGGGGAGCAGGAGGTAGTGGGGGAGAACAGGGGTTTGCATTTGATATATTGAAGCTGAAGTTCCTATGACATCTGACTGCACATATTCAGCAGGCATTTGAATACTTGGGTCTGGAGTCAAGGATAAGCTTGTGAGATGGAGACATAGCTTTGTGCATCGTCAGCATATAGGTGGAAGATTAAGTTCTGGGAGTGATTAAACAGGTGACCCAGGAAAGATAAGCTTGGAGAGTATATGAGGTTGCTGAAGGGGAACTACAGCTGGTGAAGGAATATGTCTCCTTCCAATTCCCAAAGACATCAGCTATGTAAATAATGTTCTGTCGTAGTTTTTAATAGTTTTTAATTTTAAATAGTTCATACTTCGTTGAGCTAAAAAGGAGAAAGTTAAACCATGAGCACTTCGTTAATACTCAATTGATGATGCTCTAATAGTATTATTCCCATCTAACCATTGTTCTTGTCTGAACAAATCTGTTTGTTGAGATTGACACATACATGACATACAGTTTATCATTTGAACCATTTTAAATGTACAATTGAGTAGTGTTTTTTTATTTTTATTTTTATTTTTAGAGATGGAGTTTCACCATGTTGGCCAGGCTAGTCTCGAACTCCTGACCTCAGGTGATCCGCCCACCTGAGCCTCCCAAAGTGCTGGGATTCCAGGCGTGAGCCACCACGCCAGGCCTTGAGTAGTGTTAATACATTCATATTGTTATGCAGCTATCAGCACCATCCATCTTCAGAACTTTCATTTTGCAAAACTGAAACTCTGTACCCATTAAACACTAACTCCCCAGTGTTCCCTCTCCCTGGCCCCCTGCCAACCACTCTGTTTTCTGTCTCAATGAATTTGACTACTCTATGTACCTCATCTAAGTGGAATCATATAGAAAAGCATAATCTTTAAAGTTCATCTATGTTGTTGTAAGCCAACTTACAACAACATAGATGAACTTTAAAGATTACAAAATATCATAAACTGGGTGGCTTATAAACAACAGAAATTTATTTCTCACAGCTTTTGAGGCTGGAACCAGGTCCAAGATCAAGGTGCCAGTAGATTCGGTGTCTGACAAGGGCCTATTTCCTGACATGTGTGTGGTAACTTTTTGCTGTGACCTCATCCAGTGGAAGGGAAAAGGGGTCTCTCTTGGGCTTCTTTTTATAAGGGCACTAACCCCATTCACGTGGGTCTTACCCTCATGACCTAGTCACCTCCCCAAAGCCTCACCACCTAATACCATTACCTTGGGGGTTAGGATTTCAATTTATGAATTTTGGAGGAACACATACATTTAGACCATAGCAGATGTATCAGAATTTCTTTCCTTTTCAAGGTCAATTAATATTCTATTTTCTGTATAGACCACATTTTGTTTATCCATTCGTCCATCCAGGGTCATTTGGGTTGTTTCCACCTTTCGCCTATTGTGAGTAATGCTGCTATGAACATAGGTGTACAAATATTTGAGCCTCTGCTTTCAGTTATTTGGGGTAGATACCTAGGAGTGAAATTGCTGGATCGAATAGTGTTTCTGCTTATTTTTGGAAGAACTACCATACTATTTCCCTTAGCAGCTGCACTGTTGTACATGCCAATCAGCAGTGCATGATGATTCCAACTTCTCCACATCCTGGCCAACATTTGTTATGCTCTGTTTTTCTTCTTATCATAGCCATCCTAATGGGTGGGAGATGGTATTTCACTGTGGTTTTTATTTGCATTTCCCTAATGATTGATATTAAGGACATTTAACTCTTTTTTTACTCTTTAATATTATAGATATTGCATATAATTTTTCTCCCAAGGTAACTCCAGTTGTTTTAAAATTATGTCAGACTAAAAGGTGTGTTCAGTTTTCTCATATATTTCTGAGAATATACCTAGTGAGTCAAGAATGATACTGATGATAACTGCATATTTCATTCTCATAGTTATCACCATTAACACAAATTGATGGGGGTAAATCTGAAATTGATAGAGTCCTGGCAGTAGTTTTGGGCTAGGACTCTGCACATGCATTGAGAGCTGTGATGTTAAGCGATAGACCATATCAATTCACATTTATGTTCAGAACTACAAAGAAGTCAAGAAAATGGTGAAGTTTTAGAGATCTCACTCCTATTCCGGAGGGTTGAACTAGGAAGAGGCATTCTATTACTTATATCAGTTATTCTGCCAACAAAAATTCAGTAAGGGAGAGAAATAATTTATAATTTCTAAAGTTTCTATTTGGAAAAAAAAGTGCCAGGCGCCACGGCTCATGCCTGTAATCTCAGCACTTTGGGAGCCTGAGGCAGGCAGATCTCGAGGTCAGGAGTTCGAGACCAGCCTGGCAACATGGTGAAACACCATCTCTATTAAAAATATAGAAATTATCTGGGCGTGGTGGCAGGCACCTGTAATCCCAGCTACATAGGCTGAGGCCGGAGAATTGCTTGAACCTGGGAGGCGGAGGTTGCAGCAGTGAGCTGAGACCATGCCATTGTACTCCAGCCTCGGTGATAGAGCAAGACTACATCTCAAAAAAAAAAAAAAACTATGGAAAAATATATAGACAAAATTAGTTTGAAATTGCTGTAATTTTGGAGTGGAGATAAATTTGATAATAAAACCAGTACCAAAAGATCACCTCAATTCACTTGCAACAAGCTGAAGAAAATAGAATGTCCCCAATACATCATTAGACATATATTTCTTTGAAACAGTGATTGTAGGTGGAATGAGAAAACATTATGAATCTATGTCACAACATAAAAGCAGTTTTGGGACATCATAATGTAAAATGAAAAATATCTGATTTTTAAATTTGAATTTCTTTCTACCAAACTCAAAACTAAATCATTGTGCAATTAAAACTTGCAACTCCAATCATGAATAACATAAGTATTTCCTCAGCTTATGCAATAATATTTAATGAGATGGGTTACTAGGTTCAGTTAGTGTTACATAGGGGCCTAAGCAAAGACTGGGACTGGATCTCACTTGTTTTTGCTAAACAAGCCTGGGACCCTGGTATAGGGCTGCATCTTAGAAAAGGAGGTACCTTTTTCATTTCACAAAGGTGTCTTCTGCTCATCAAACTATGCAACCACGAGAGGCTTCATCCACCCAGAGGAGCACATTTTCTAATTTGCATAAAAGTGCCACATGGGCTAGCAGAGGACCTGAGGCTGTGTTCCCCACCAGTAGGAGAAATCTGATCTGCAGTAACAGAGAATAAAGGGAACAC